AAATGGGCCAAATGTAACCTCTCGTGTTTTTAGGTATTAAATAGTATCTAAAGAAGCTACACAAGTTATATTTTTATCTGCTATGTTTAATTCAACATACCAAGAGAAAAACATGTTTTAGATGGTTGTATAAATAAAAGATTGAAATATATTATTAATCAATTTGCTCAAGAATTAGGCTTTACAGAATGTTAATAAAGCGCCTACAAACTACCTCAGACAAATCCTAAACCTAAAGTACTACTGAATATAAATGAATGCTTTACTAACATCCCATAAAATCTCTGTTGAAAGAAAGCGATGCTATGAAACCTTAAATCTAAAGTGTAACCGCAGAAACATGTAGGAAAGTTCAGTTGCCAGGTGGCAGATTGATAAAGTTTCACCAAAACAAAGTCAGCTTTTTTATATAAATACATCTTCAATTGGGAAAGGCTTTGACTAAAAATAAACTGGATATTGTTCCAACAAAATCTTTGTGAGAAAGTGGCTGGCTAGAAACGGCCAACATACAATAGAGTTAGACTTTGTAAAAATTAAATAAATTCAGATTCTGAGAGGCTCAATAAGTGCTTGTTCAGAGTAAATCAGACATTGTTGTCCAAGTTTCAGCAGTGATACATAATTCACTGAATACCAACACCAACAGGGTTGGACACTTTGGGATATCCAAGCAAGCTCAAACGCGTCCGATAACTGCAACCTCTATGACCAGCTGGGCCCCAGTGCTCTTGTACTGTTGTCAGTGAAAGGAAAATCATTGGTACAACTTATGCCAGCTCCGACACTTAGCATCACTGTGGGGCTGTTAAGCACGTATTTTGAAGGAATAAGTACATTTCGTCATCTCTTCCAAGCTGGTACTGGTCTGGAACTGTGATAATTCATTTGTGATTTTAAAATGTAGAGGCATGCAAAAAAGTAACTATTGATTCCAAATATCTAAAATGAGAAAAATAGCTGATGTGACATTTTCACATCTCCAGGAACAAACTGCAATAATGAAGCACAGAGATTGTTTATGGATCATGGCAACTGTGTTGTTCACTACTGTTTCTATATTTTGAATTGGAGAATAGTTTCTAAAGAAGCGATCTGTCACGCCCTCTGCAGCCAGAGGGCGCTCCTTCTCTGTCCTGTCCCTAGTTTCCGGTCTGCTGTCCTTCCTGTCCCTCTCTTTCCCTTGGGCTATATATTTCCGGGTCTTGCACTCTGTCCTCGCTCAGCATTGAGGTTTGGATGTCCTGAGACCCGCCTAGCACCAGGGCGCCCCACATC